GGATCTCATTTAAAAAATTCGAATTTATTTAATATTTACTTAACAGTGGCGCCCAATGTGGGGCACAATTTGACCACAAAAATTACGTTTTAGTTTATGTGGGACAAACACTATTCAAATTGCAAAGTATCTAAACTAGAAAATGGCTTTAAAATTATTTTTTAAAATAAAGAATTTAATTTGAAAAAATATAAAATTGGCGTCCAACGTGGGAAAAATCCAGGCAATATTATATATTTTGTGGGTATTATATTCCATAGGGGGAAACCCAACATCAACCAAAAATCATGGTTTTAAAGTTGGGGATTAAGAATTTAATTTTAAAATATAAAAGTGGCGCCCAACGTGGGGAACAATCCAGGTAATATTGCATATTTTGTTGGTATTATATTCTAGAGTGTATTCGGGTGTGGAAAACCAAATATTACTCAAAAAATCATGGCTATGAAGTTGGGGATTAGAGATTTAATTGCAAAATATTAAATTGGCGCCCAACGTGGGGAAAAATCCAGGCAATACTATATATATTTTATTGGTATTATATTCCAGAGAGGAAACCCAAATATAACACGAAAAATTATGGCTTTCAAGTTGGGGATTAAGAATTTAATTTTAAAATATATAAAATTGGCGCCCAAGGTGGGGAACAATCCGGGCAATCCTAGGTTTATATTTCGTTAGATTTATGTCCTAGAGAGGAAAACCAAATATTAGACGAAAAATTATGGCTTTCAAGTTGGGGATTAAAGATTTAATTTAAAAAATATAAAATTGGCGCCCAACGTGGGAAACAATCCTGGCAATATTACATATTTTGTGGGTATTGCATTCCTGAGGTGAAAAACAATATATAACACGAAAAATATCATGGCTTTAAAATTGGGAATTAAGGATTTAATTTAGCAACATAAAATTGGCGCCCAACGTGGGGAAAAATCCAGATAATATTATATGTTTTATTGGTATTATATTCTAGAGAGGAAAACCAAATATTACACGAAAAATCATGGATTTTAAGTTTGGGATTAAGAATTTAATTTTAAAATATAAAATTGGCGCCCAACGTGGGGAAAAATCCAGATAATATTATATATTTTATTGATATTATATTTTAGAATAGAAAACCAAATATGACACAAAAAATCATGACTTTCAAGTTGGGGATTCAGAATTTAATTTTAAAATATATAAAATTGGCGCCCAACGTGGGGAACAATCCCGGCAATATTATATATATTTCGTTGGATTTATTTTCTAGAGTGGAAAATCAAATATTACACGAAAAATCATGGCTATGAAGATGGGTATTCGATTTTTAATTTTAAAATACAAAATTGGCGCCCAAGGAGGGGTAATTTTAGTATGTATTCGTTATAAAATTTCGATATTATTACAAAATATCTTGCGTGAGGATTGTCAATTAGAATTAAAAACAATATTCATTGATAATTGTGAAGCATTTTAGCCATTTGAGGAACCCATGCAAAAAATGGCGCCCAACGTGGGGCAAATATTAATTATGTTAATTAATAATATAAAATAAGTTTCTGTTTTTAATACTTTAAATTAAATTTTGCAAGTTGATACATATATGTCTTTCAACGTCCACACGTGAGGAAAGGCGACCAATGCGGGACAAAAATTGAAAAAAAAAAATTTTTAAGTTTTAAAAAAATTAATTTTTTATTTTTTTTTATTTATTTATTTATTTATCTTTTTTTTTTTTTTTTTTTTTTTTTTAAACTAAAAAATTACTTTCAACACCCAAACTTGAGGTTCCGCAGCCTCAAAAAAATAGATTTTAAGAAATATCTGCATTTCCTCTCTCCACTTCCTTGTTAGTTTCATGCCGTTTGTGCCCATATTAGCTCCGATGTAGTCCCTAAGAATACCAACAAAAAAAAACTCAAAGATTCTTTATTTGATTGCCATCTGATTGCCTGCCTTGGCTGGCAGTGTTGATTATTTTGTGTCTGTCTGCCTGCCTGTTTGCCTCTGTGCTATTCTGCCATGGCCTCACATCACATATACCCTTTGCCGTTGTTTCTGTTTTTTTTTTCTTGTGGGCTTAATTTAAATTAATGCAATGCGCTGCTCTTTTCCCCACCAGTTCAGCGCTGTGCGTGCTGTGCCTTGTATGTTTTGTTTTTTGAGATTTTTATTTAGTGAAATTTTATTTTGAAAGGATTCTGCTTCGTTTTTATTTCATTTTCGATTTTTATTTATTCCTATGCATATGCCAGGCACAGAAGAAGAATCTTGTGGTTTCTTGATGTTACTTGAGATCTGCCTAGTGTGTTCTTTTAATTAGGTTGACAATTTTAGTTTGTCGTTTTTATTTTCCGTGTTTTTTTTTTTCATTTCAGAATTATTTTTAATTTCAATGTGTTTGGCTGTTCCTTTTAAAGATTTTGGAAATGTTTTTTTTTCTTGGCTGCAGATCTTAAAGATATCATGCCAAGCGAAATGAATTTGTCTGCCTTTTTGGCTGTATGGAGGCATTGCTAATGATGCTCATTTAAAGTTTTGCGGTCTTAAGGGGTTAAATACTTGTTCGGGCCCAGACACACACAAGATTGATATCGCTCAAGTTCATTAGTCAATTATTTTGTGTGTGCTGTTTTTTTTTTCGTTTGTGGTACGGATTACAAAAGGCCTCGGTGGGGTTCATTGGGATGTCTAGAATTTGGAAATTTTAATTAGTTTGGCAAAAAATAAAAAAAAAACAGAAAAAATATAAAAAAAAAAATATATTTTTTGTAATTTTAATTTCCAAATGGCGCCCAACGTGGGGTCGCCTTTAGAAACTGTGTAAATCGCTAAAATCGTATTTACCATGGAAACATTTGACAATAAATATATATGAAATGTACGAGCTTTTTTACATAATCGGTGAATTTTTCTACTGGCGCCCAAAATGGGGTTTGTATCTATACATCAAAATTGTAATGAATTTTTGTTTTTACTAAAATATTTTCTCATTATATGTTTTTTAAAGAACATTTCAAATATATTTTAAGAAAAAATTAAAAAAATATATTTTTCGAATTTTTTATTTGAAATCTTTAATTTCCAAATGGCGCCCAACGTGAGACTACTACCAGAAACTCCATAAATCATTGAAATTATCCTAACCATGGAACTTAGTGGCAATAAATAAGAGAAATGTGAAATCTATGAATTTATTTAAAATAGTGAGTGTATTTTTCAATTGGCGCCCAACATGGGGCTTGTGTCTATTCATCTAAATTTAAATGAAATGGCCTTTTGAACAAAAAATTGAGAGCTTACTACAGAAATTTATCATTATTAATTTTTTTGAGGCACGTTAAAAATATATTTTGTAGTGGCGCCCAACGTGTGGCTCAAAGAAATATTTCTTTTTAAAAGTCAATATAACCATGCAACTTAGTGGCAATAAATAAGAACATTTGAAATTTATGAACTTATTTGTAGTAATCTGTGCATTTTTTTTAATTGGCGCCCAACGTGGATTTTTTATCTATACATAAATTTTTTTATGAAATGGAGTTTTAACTAAAAATTTGGAAATTTACTTAGAAATTTATCATCTGTTGTTTTTTAAAGCAGGTTTTAAATAATATTTTTAAGTGGCGCCCAACGTGTGGCTCAAAAAAATATTTTTCTAAATGTCAATATAACCATGGAATTTAGTGGCAATAAATAAAACAAATGGGAATTCTATGATTTTATTTAAAATATTCAGAGAATTTTTCAATTGGCGCCCAACAAGGGGCTAGCAACTATACATCAAAATTTTAATAAAAAAATGAAAATTAAAAAATGCGTCATTATTTAATTTTTTTAAAGCTCGTTCAAAATTTATTTTATAGTGGCGCCCAACGTGGAGCTCGAAGAAATATATGTTTTTAATGCTATATAATTTCAAATGGATAGCTAAAAATAAAAGGTTTAAGATCTTACTTTAGGAAGTTCTCTTTATTTTGGTTTTTAGAGTTTTTTTTAATAAAATGTAAGTGGCGCCCAACGTGAGACTCTACAAAAATATTTTTTTAAATACCTATATAATTCCAAATGAAGACAGAACACAAAACATCTAAGAATTTCCTATAGAAAACTCACAATATTTGTTCTTTTGGTAAAACTCATTTAATGAAATTCAAGTGGCGCCCAACATGGGACTCAAACATTTTTTTTTATATGTCAACATAACTTAAAATGGGAATCAGATATGTTTTCATAAGAAAATGAATGAAAAATCATACTTCATCATACAATAAAAAAAAACTTCAAATGGCGCCCAACGTGGGGCTCCAAAAAAATTATTTTAATGCCATTGAAGGACCAAATAGACATCAAAAGAATATTCAGTGCTGATGTCCATTTATTTAAACCAGATAATTAAACACTTTTTTTTGAAGCCCCACGTTGGGCGCCATTTGCAATTTTTTAATGATTTTAAAATATGTGATATTTCCATTTTCATATAAAAAAAAAAAAACTTAAAAATATACAAATCAGAATATGTTTAAATGAATAATGAGAATACCCTTTTTAAAATGGCGCCCAACGTGGGTTTGGGTTGAATTTATCGATTTTAACGTTAATTTCGGTCTCAATTGAATTCTGATAATTTTGCTATTCAAATTTATTTCCTTACAACTTTCCAAGAACCTTTATTTATCCAATATTTACCACCATTGGCCCATATTTGCTCTCTTAAAAAAGAACAAAAACAAAGGAATCTCTTAATTTGTTTACCCTGGCCAAGGCAGCACTTTAATGTAATTTCCATTGCCCCGCCTCGGTTTTTGTTAACAAATTTAAATATTTATTTGTTATGTTGACTTTACTTGTTTTGCAAAATAACAGTTAATTAAATTTTCTTTACCCAGGCCATAGCTGTTTGTTCGGGCAAATATTTGAACTGATTTTGTTGTTTTTTTTTTTCATCCTCTTCTTCTGCTGCCATACAAATATTAATTTTTGTTTCGTTTCTTCTGCGTTATCTTTTTCAGGTCTATATTTGAAACGGATTGAAATTGTAGCGGCATCGTACATTGGTTGTCACTATTATTATTATTATCAACATCTTCGGTTCGGCGTTCATTCTAGCTGGCAAATAACACTGTGGACGATTTGTTTAGTAGCAGCAGCTAAATTTTGAAATTTTTACCAAAGCTGTAAAAAATGGAAAAAATGGTGAGTAAAAATTGATTTTTTTTAATAATAATATAAAGAATTGAAATTAAAAAAATAAATGTTGGAAAAGGTTTGAAAATGGGAAAAAAAAACTTAGGTTTGATGGGAAATAGAATTATCTCATTTTGATAAATAATTTAATATCTGATGATCCTTATATGCTAGACGTATGGTGTCTTTGGCAAAATTAATCGTATAGCTACCAGCTACATTTGTACCAAACATTTTAACCCTCTGGCGGCTTGCTGTAGGGGTCTTTTTGTGGCACTTGCTATTATTTGCTGATATTTGACAGGATTTCGAATAGAGGACATATTTCGCCTTTTATACTTTGTTTTAGAGCGAAGATGTTAAAGACAAAATTGCTCTCCACCAAATTTCACTATGGGTCTCTGAACAAGTAAAATCAGTAGATGGACTATATATCCAAGAAATATCGGGGTACATTTGGATAAATATATAAAAAAGGATTTTTTAATGAAAAGTTCATTGGTCTTTGATTGGGGGCCAATTTTTACCATAAATCGACATTTTAGAGGTATGGTACAAAAAGGAAAAATACTCTCTATAAAATTTCACTATAGGTCTCTGAACAAATTAAATCAGTAGATTTACTATATATATATCAGAGAAATATCGGATCTAATTAAGATATATAAACAAAAAATGACTTTTAAAGAAAATCTCATAGGTCATCAATTGGATTGCTAATTTTGTCATAAATAGACATTTTAGAGGTATGACACCAAAAGGAAAAATATTCTCTACAAAACTTGATTATAGGTCTCAGAACAATGAAAACCAGTAAATGGACTATATATCCATGATATATCGGGTTTAATTTGGATATGTAAAGAAAAATTTATGTTTTGTAAAAATTTCTCTGTATTATGAACAGAAGGGAAATTTCGCCTCAAATTGTCATTTTGGAGGGATAGTGCCAATGGAAAAAATATTCTACATCGAATTTCACTGTAGGTCTCTAAACATAGATTAGATTATAGATTAACTATATATCAGAGAAATATCGGATCTAATTAAGATATATAAACAAGAAATGATTTTTTATGAAAATCTCATAGGCCTTCGATAGGGCGGCGAATTTTGCCATAAATAGACATTGTAGAGGTATGATATCAAAAGAAGAAATATTCTCTACAAAATTTCACTATAGGTCTCTGAACAAATGAAATCAGTAGATGGACTATATATCCCTCATATATCGGGTTCAATTTGGATATATAAAGAAAAATTTATGTTTTGTAAAAATTTCTCTGTATTTCGAACAGGAGCATAATTTCGCCTCAAATTGTCATTTTAGGGGGATGGTGTAAATGGAAAAAATATTCTGCATCGAATTCTACTATGTGTCTCAGAACAATGAGAAGCAGTAGATGGACTATATATCCATGAAATATCGGGTTAAATTTAGTTGTATAAACGAAAAACGATATTTTTGAAATTTTCATTGTTCTTTGATTAAGAGGAGATTTTATCCCTCAAATTGTGATTTTAAAGAGTTGCTGTCAATGGAAAAAATATTCCCCATCGAATTTCACTATGGGTCTTGGAACCATAGAAATCTGTAGAAATGATATATACTCATGAAATATCGGATTCAATTTAGATATATAAGCCAAAGTGTTTTTTTTATAAAATATATATTTTTACCGAAAAATATCGCCTCCAATTAAAAAATATAAATATATATATATATATTTCTTTAAATTATTATTCTTCGATTAGAGACTAAATTTTGCCCCAAATTGATATTTCGGATCAAGAGTGTCAATGGAAAAAATTTTCCCCATGAAATTCCACTAGGGGTACATTAAATCCGTGAAGTATCGGCCCATTTCGAATATATGAAATTTGGGCAATTCCTTAGTGTTTTCGACAATTAGGCGAGAAGTTGTTTGGAATTATGAATATTTCCCATTTCCATCTCCTCTATATCTTCTCCCCTTGATTTTGTTTTTAATTTTTTCCCCTCATATGGTCTTAGCGGACATTTTCAAAGTCAAGGATGTATTTTGTTGGTAATTTTTCTTTCCGAAAATAATATTCAAATATTGATTTTGAAATATTGAACATTAGACACTTAGCCTGCCGCTTGGCTTCAAAGTTCCCAAATTGAAAAAAAATGTCACCCAAAACAATTAACGTTATTCAAAATTATGCCTTCCTCCTTAGGAATTTACATAATTTCTTCACAGACCATCTCCAAAAAAAAAAAAAAATTGAAATATGAACTGTATTTATTTGAAAAGTTCCTCCCAATTGAATAATGATAGAGTGATTTTCTTTTGAAGTTTTCGGCCCCAAATAATTTATTTCAACTGGAAACAAGCCGTTACTTAAATGGCCCACAGAATAACAGAAAATAATAACGAAATCCACGGCTTAGGGCTTTATAAGGCGCCTCTTTTAGGCCATATTTAGAGAGCGGTTTCAATTTTCAGAGCTTTTGAAAATAATTTCTTGGAATTTTCTTATTTTCTCCTCTTTTCCTCTATTAAATTGGGATCGAATTACAATAATACCAAAAACATATCACACATGTGTTGCTTTTTTTTTTTTTTTGCTTACACAATGATTATGTCTATGTCAGATTGTTATGATAAGAATATATAATTAATTTACAAAAAAAAATGCGCGTTTAAATAAAGACAATGGAAAAAAGTTTACATTTTGTAAGACAAAACACCCCGCCACTGTTGATTTACAATGTTGACGATTAAGTTACAATTGAATTGTGATGTTGATGATGAAGAGGGGAGGGGATGGGGTAGGGTAGGGAGAGTGTGGGCGACGACAGACAAAACGGATGAATGTGTTGCTGTTAGCCCCCATAAAGCAAAGGCGGCGGCGGCCCACCGCCACCATCTTCGTTTGCCCGATCGAAGGTGTTAGAAAATACAAAATTGGCTTGGAATTGTTATTTAAATTTCCGCACAAAGGTAAACAATGCCAAGTGAACGAGAGGCAGAGGGGGGAAGGCAGAGAACGTGTTGACACTTGTTAATAGAATGTGTTTGAAATTTTAAATAAAATAAAAATTACAATATTTTTCTTTAGGCGTACGATCCAAACGTCGTTTTGTTGTTTGTTTTTGCTGCTGCAAAGCTAAGGTGTTACAATGGCTTCGAAATCTGTAGTTCGTTTTGGGGCTTTTGTTTAAAATACGAATATCTAAAAAGCATGTCCCCCAAATTGGTATTGTTTTATGTTGTTTATTACCATGTTAAACAACAATTTAAAATACGATTATAGTTTTGGTCAGGCTAACATATTTGGCTAACATAAAATAGGGTACAATATGTCAAGAAACTGGAATAGGAAAATAGAACCCTGTGAAGAAATGAAATTTGCCCATCAAATGGCGCCCAATATGGGGTACAACTCAAAATGACATCTTAGAAATAAATATCCTACAACCATTTTGAAGCTGTTTACATGTAAGACAAAAAATAAAGTCTTCATTAGGACTTGGAAACTCTAAACAGCTCAACCTAGCACCCATCCCATAATAAATCTGAAAATATCACACCTGCGTCTTAATTCATACTTAATGTTAGTCGAGAACAATATTTGTCCAGGCATTTTCTTAATTAATGAAATATTAAAAAAAATGGCGCCCAACGTGGATCATAATTGACAAAAAATATTATTTTTATCTTAAATTAAAAAATAATTACATACATTGGCTTATCCTTAGTAAAAATTGAATATTGCCACATATTTTCTCCATTAAAACAATAATTTCAGGGAAAATGGCGCCCAACGTAAGGCACAATTATTAAAAAATAAACACTTGCGACTGATTTCATACTTAATATTAGTCGAGCGCAATATATGTCCAGTCATCTTCTTTATTAAATAAATCTTGAGGAAAATGGCGCCCAACGTGGGTCATGATTGAGAAAAATATAAAAAATATTTACATAAATCGGGTATTTGTTAAAATTATCCTTAGTGAAAATGAAATATTTCCAAATATTTTCTCCATTAAAAAAAAATTATTTCAGGGAAATGGCGCCCAACGTAGGACTCAATTGAAAAAAAAATCAAATTTCTGTTACATAGCAAACGACATTCTTGTTCAATTTTAAAATCAGAGGGTCAAATTATTTTCTACAAAAAAAAAAACATAAGGAAAATAAAGCACAATGGCGCCCAACGTAAGGCCAAATGAGAAAATATATTTAATCTTAGCTTAAAACTGAAAATAAAGAACTATTTTTGGCTGTTTCTTATCCTTAGATCAAAAAAAAACAATTTTTACATATTTTCCCATTCAAAAAGTTATTTTAGAAAAATGGCGCCCAACGTTAGGCATAGCTAAAAACATACATTAACTACATATAATTCGAAAAAAATATGTAATAAATATTTTCATACAAATAATAATAAATTTAGATCTTTTTTAATTGTTAAAATCAAAGGTTTATTGCATTTTCTAAATTTCAAAAAAAAAAATAATAATAAACACAATGGCGCCCAACGTGAGGCCAAATGAGAAAATATATTTAATCTTAGCTATAACTAAAAATAAAGAACTGTTTTGGCTGTTTCTTATCCTAAGTCGAAAGAAAAAATATCTTTACATATTTTCCCATTAAAAAAATTATATTTAGAAAAATGGCGCCCAACGTTAGGCATAACTACAAACATATATTTCCACATATAATTCGAAAAAAATATGAAAAAAAAATACTTTCATACAAATAATAATGTATTTAGATCTCTTTTTAATGTTAAAATAAAGGTTCAAACTGTTTTCTAGATTTCAAAAAAATAATGGCGCCCAACGTGGGGTATAATCGTAAAAATCACCGTACATTTTTCTAAAAAAAAAAAATAAAAATTAAATTCATGAAGTTTAAATTGATTTTCTCTCAACAAACAATAACTATTTAGACCATTTTTTACCATTGAAAAATAATGGCGCCCAACGTGGGGTATAATTGAAAAAATTACAGTATTTCAACTTCCAAATG